TTTTTCCAAAAATGGCTCCGAACTCACCCCAAATTATTATTACATTTTCTGATACATATTGATGTCCTTATACTGTGTAGCAAGTTTGAGCTGATTCCGACTTCAATTTTTCAAGTAACGGCCATTTAAAAAAAATCTAAAATCCTGAAAAATACACAAGGCTATAGCCAATTTTTTTTTATATAATAATAATAATAAAATGAATTTGAAATAGGATCAGAAATCAGTAGTAATGAGTTTATAAGTGAAATTAGTAATAATAATAATAATAATAATCTTTATTAATAGCCAATGGTTTTTTCCAAAAAATGGCTCCAAAATCACCCCAAATTTTTATTACATTTCCTGATACATATTGATGTCCTTATGCTGTGTAGCAAGTTTGAGCTGATTCCGACTTCAATTTTTCAAGTTACGGCCATTTAAAAAAATGCTAAAATCCTGAAAAATACACAAGGCTATAGCCCATATGGTTTTTTGCAAAAAATGGCTCCAAAATCACCCCAAATTTTTATTACATTTTCTGATACATATTGATGTCCTTATGCTGTGTAGCAAGTTTGAGCTGATTCCGACTTCAATTTTTCAAGTTATGGCCATTTTTTAAAAATGCTAAAATCCTGAAAAATACACAAGGCTATAGCCTATGGTTTTTTCCAAAAAATGGCTCCGAACTCACCCCAAATTATTATTACATTTTCTGATACATATTGATGTCCTTATACTGTGTAGCAAGTTTGAGCTGATTCCGACTTCAATTTTTAAAGTTACAGCCATTTTAAGAAAATGCCAAAAATTCTGAAAAATAATAGCCCATGGTTTTTCACAAAAAATGGCTCCAAAATCACCCCAAAGTTTTATTACATTTCCTGATACATATTGATGTCCTTATGCTGTGTATTAATGTCCTTATATTCTCTCCTCTCCTTACAGTCGTTGCGTCACTTGTGTTCAGTGATTCCTGGTAGAGATGATATTGAGACTTTTCGTTTGAAAATGATTTTAAGATTATTACAAATACCAAGCTTTAGTGGGAAAATGAACGCCCTCAATGAAGTAATTAATATTCATTATTGTTATTATTATTATTATTATTATTATTATTATTATTATTATTATTATTATTATTATTATTATTATTATTATTATTAATAGATTAATAAGATTGTCCCTTCAATGAGTTATCATCCTCACTTCAGGACAATAGGAGATGAGGAACAACTTACCACTGAAAGAACCCAGCAAAAAAATCTTACGTAAGATCTTACTTAAGATCTTATGAAACCTTACAAATGATCTTGCATGTTTAATCATGCCGGTTCTTGCAAGATCATTAGACAAGAAGTTCCAAAATCTTGCCAAGATCTTATGATAAATCTTGCCAAGGTCTTATGATAAGTCTTACATGATCAGGCATGGTCTGACGATTAATCTTACATTATCAGTCAAGATCAGGCAC